CCCCCTGTGCTGCTGGAGGGGAGGAGGGACAGAAAATCATGAGTGAAGTCCAGCCTGGGAAGAAGGGAAGGGTCAGTGGAAGGTGTTTCTAAGATTTGGTTTTTATCCTATTCTGATTTGATTGGTAATAAATTAATTTTTCCCCAAGTCAAGTCTGCTTTGCCCATGATGGTAACTGGTGAGGGATCTCACTTTGTCCTTATCTTGACCCATGAGCCTTTCGTTGTATTTTCTCTCTCTGTTCAGCTGAGGAGAGGAGCGATAGAGCAGCTTTGGTGGGCACCTGGCCTCCAGCCTGGGTCAACCCACCACAACATACAATTTCAGTCTGCTCTGTTTTCAGAGTGTGCTACCTCCCGTTTGCATCTGCCCATTAGTAAAAGGAGAACAACTGAAGCAGGCACAGGATTCACACAGCTTTTGGGGGATCTTGTCCCTTAAGGGCCCTGCTTGAAATAGGAACTAGTTGGCACAGCCAGCTTCTCTCAATAAGGAACACAGAGCGGTAACCTTTAGAGTGCAGATCCTCATCCTCAAAAAAAAAAAAAAAGCCAACCCCAAAACAACCCAAAAGTAAGATTATCTACAAGCATCTTACAAGCAGAGTATTCACACCTGTGGGGAAAGCTGACCGTGTAACATGTCTGCATAAGAGCATCCTAACTGCAAAGAGAGCCGGAGCCACTGGTGCAGCAAATGGAACAAACATCCTTTGCAACGGGCACGGCCAGGGACGGGCACACAGGGATAGTGCAAGTTCATGGGGACATCTGAAACAAGCGGCTGGCAGGCGCCCATGGGAAGCACAAGCATGCAGCAGTCTGTGAGCACCCTGAACTTAACCTGGCTAATCCATTTTTCAAAGCTACCGTAATTTTACCACTATACATAGTATATCACACATGGCTTCACATGTCACTATAGATATTTATAACTCACAGTGACTTTAAAACATTTGCTTTTCCTGCCACAGCTATCTACCATTTAACACCTACCATTTTCCTTAATGGATGTCACATACAGCATAGAAGGGGTCACTCCAAATTGTCTGGAAATTGCTCTAGCTTTCTCATTTATTTATGTAAGTATTTGTGTATGTGTGTCTCTGTGTGTATGTGCACGAACATGCCTGAATGCGAGAATATCTAGATGTTCTGTAAATATACAACCAGCTACAAAGCAATTGTATAAGCTGTACAACCCTTATACAACACTGAAGGAGACATACCTTTCAGATGAATGTATTGCCTAAATCTGCAATACTACAAATTGGTCAAATATGCCTTTAACATATTTCTAAACCAACATAAATCTACTGTCATCTATCAAAACACTGTGCTCAACAGCAGTCCTTACTAGACAGAGACACCTGTGTGTACTACTAGCACTGGAGAGGAGATACTCAACCAATACAAAGCTCTGCTTCAGCTCTAATGAGTTCCACTGAAGGCTAAAATGAAGTCAACTGAATTATAAAAATATACACTAGTCAATAATGCCACTAACATGGTATATTTAAACAATTTATTTCAAAGTAGTCATTTTTAAGGGAAAGTAATTGAATTCACAATGTCTTGACTACTACAGTATTTTCTGACTTTGACAACAGCAACACTGGATATTGGGAACAGAAGTCAAACACAACTTAGAAGTGCTACTTGCCCAGCTATCAGGATGGATTTTTATTTTATTTCAACTAAAAAAAAAAAAGATTAAATTTGAACTTACTTTGAATCCATTTTTGTCACTTTTTTAGTGAAAAATTCATCCACACCTTCATCCACTCTCCCCATAAGGCCATTCTGATCCCCTTCTGGAGGCACCCCAGCAGACACCTGACAGAAGAAAAAAACTTTCTCTAATATATAATAATCTAAGTGTATTTGTTTCAATGAAAATAATTAAGAGTTAAGACACTATAAAAATTGCGTGTGTCAACCAAACCTCTGTGCAGACAAAAGAATCACCACCGGAATTCCCCCTTTAGTCAGGCCAGTTGACGCATTACATCAAACGCAAAGTAACCAAAAACACCAGTGACAAACTGGATACTGTAATGCCTAAGGCCAGGAATCAAATGCCTTGGGCTTGTGAGAATAGAGCACTAGTTCAGTTAGAAAAGAAAAAAAAAAAGTAGTTAAGGAAAAATTAAGTCCTGATCAGGTGATGACCTGAAGAGTTTTTTTAACAGCTAGTTGTTTCCTTATTCAGAGCAAAACCTATGTTCTGGATTTTGGATTTAGAGTTTTAGAAACAAAGCTCCAGCAGGCGAACAGAGCCTTTTATAACTCATTCAGTCCAGCACTTCCAAAAGCAGAGACTCTAAATACAGAATCAGGTGTTTCAGTTTAGGAACGGAACACAGATTTTCGCTGAGTGTCTGAAAATGGGAAACCTGCTCCCTTTCCTTCGTTTGAATATCCACGTTTTGAATGTGGGTGACTGAAGGCATCTAAACCAGACTGACTTAGTAATACCTGCCAGCCACAAAGACCCTGTGAAGATTAGCTGGTGACTCTGCAGCCTCCTGAAGATGAAACACGCTGTCTCCTGGGAGGATTTCTCATGTGGTCTAGCTCCTGTACATGGCTTTGATGTGGAAAAGCTCTATTACCAGTAGAGAGACTTCCTTCAATTCAAATGCCTTATGGAAACCTCTTAGGTGACTATAGAGGAGTCCACAAGATGCAATCCAGTTGTATTCTTGGTAGTACTAACAATCAGGAATCAGTCTGCCACAAAATAGCAGGGTTTGTCATTTGAAACAATTTAAATCAAGGAACCTCCTAGTTGCCACAATAACTCGAGAGTAATCCCAGCTTCCCTTTTCAGCCGGAATACATGCTCTTTTCTATGCCTCTGAGAAGAAAAATAAATACTCTCAAAAGCTGCTGTTAACATCAAACCCAACCTCATTAAGCCAGGACAAGAGTGCATGTGAACTAATGCTTTGACACATCCATGAAACATTTTACTTTCCATGGCTGAACCTTGTTAGAAGCCTAGTATTTACTTTGTTATCAAAGACAACAGCTAATATTTTATTGACACCTGCTGTAGCAATGTATTACGGATCGGAAAAGAGCCCAGCTGGTAATGACTGCTTTGTTGCCAGTCATACCACGTATTTTCTAGAAAAACCAGTTTTATTCTAAGAAGCACAATGACTTCTCAGACTTCCAACTCTGCCACTTCTGGAAGAGCCCACCTGGTAATGACTGCTTTGTTGCCAGTCTAGAAAAACCAGTTTTATTCTAAGAAGCACAATGACTTCTCAGACTTCCAACTCTGCCACTTCTGGGGTTTTCTGTAAAGAACTTGTTTAGCTGGAACATCTGATGCCAGACAGCAATGCATATACTAACACCTGGGTTGGTCAACCCAGTGCTGGTTGTCTCAACGTAAATATTTACCTTGTCGGTCAAAAAACAGTTGACACCCACATTTCAACTGAAACATGTCAACCAAAAGTGACTGGCGTATTTCAACAGAAATGAGAAACCATTTAATATTGATACTGGAGCTCTGCAGATAGTAGGAACAGACATGGAAGTATCAAAGGGAAGTACATCTCCTGAAGGAGAAGAAATGCAATAATCCAATGATCTACAGCAAATGACAAGATCTACCTCAAAAAAGAAAACAGTTCGCATCTGAAAAAGCAGCAAGTCCCTAAAAATGTACTAAAGATGTACACAAATGTTGAGGGCCTAATAAGGTCCCCAGGGCACAGGATATTCTTATAGATGTTTACTGTAATGCCTTTTAGTGACCACTGTTAAAGTAAAAGACTGAGCTCTGGTTTATTTCGTGTTTTATGCTCCTAGTGCTAAAAAAAAAAAGTTAAGTTTCCATTTGTCAATTTTACTATTTTTTTTAGCCTAAGTTTAAAAGTGAGCCTTCTATGTTTCTTTATTAAGAAAAAAACTGGCTTGGAAGCAGAAATAAATAAGATGAATCACAAACTCCTTCATACATTAGAGATTCACCTCTGCTGTACTAAACCTTCACACCTGATGGAAGAACTCATGAGGTTAAGATCTGACAAAAATCTAAATGATAATCAACAGTTTCATCATATTGGTTCAAAGTTACTTGGGGGTTGGTGGTGCTGAGGTTTTCTTTTTTTTCCTTTTTCTTTTTTTTTTTTCCCCTCTGAACACTTATTTCAGTAAAAACCTTGACAAAACTATACATGTTTTTTCTGTCCTCTCACCCACCCCAAGTTAAAAGTTTACATTTCTCCCTTTTTTCTCCATTTTTCCCTTCTTACATTTTTCAGCTTACAAAGAACAAATTTGTTTTCCAGCAAAACCAGAGAAGTACAGCTATGACCATCTGAGACCCCTTAAATTACTAAATGGAAATAATGGGAAGAGTAAACAACGGAACAGACCTGCTTAAGCGGTAGAAAAGGTCACGATTTTGCCTCTCACATTTCAAGTGCTCTTCCTAACCACTGCTGTCTGTATTCTCAAAGTGGTAAAACCTGCAGCAAATCAATTCTGCGAACAACGCCACAGTCCACTCATGACTCTGGCCTTCAAAACTTGGCTGTTTCATTTGTGGAAGCATCAAAGCAAACATTTTAAGTCTTTCAAAAATTTGTTTAGACTTGTTACGAGGTCAGAAATAGTCAGGAATTAAATGGTCCATAAAAACAAGACAGGGACAAATGAGTTTAAGTAAAAAAGTTCCTTTCAATTTCTGCAACTAAATAAATCCCTGATTTCCTAATTAATCCAATACGGATGAGCATTCTCACAGCATGCCACTATCATGGGAAGCAATACTTCTCCTCTACAAGAAGGAAGTTTTTTTATTTCTGTTGAGCAAGATATTGCATGTCCTAGTTCCACGGCCAGTAGCGAAGCACTTGCCCTCCCATGCACCTACTCCTTCCACACCTCTGTGTAGATGGCACAGGATGCGCCGAGTAAGTTTGGAAGAGAGGCAAGTTTAGCAACTGGGAAAACACGTGCATTCTGCAGAATTGGAACTGGAAGAAGTAAACACAGATGTGTTTTCACTACAACGTTGGAGACCAGTCCGTCCTTCTGCTACCTCTATCCTTCCCTGTAAAGTGCAAGGGAATGGAGAGTTGGCTTGAATATCCTCTCTGCTTGAAGGTTTCTCCATTTCCAAGTGGCTCAAAAAGCACTCTAGTGCCTGATACAATCTTTCTCAGCATTAGAGAACTTTTCAAGGGTCCTTTCTGCTGACAATCCTCTGGGAGCAGGAGAGGCCACAGGCATTCATTACCAGGCAGCATAACTCAGAGAAGCAATGGCTGTGCCTTGATAAGGGTTACTTATCGTATCAGCTGTGCTCTGTCGTCGTGAGATAGCTCTCGAACTCCTCCAGATCTGTCCTTACATACCCTGAGGACATACCATCACAGAAATACATCTTTACCGATGTGGTATGCCAAGGAAATGGAACTGTGGGAACTCCACACACAAATACTTGGGTTCACACCAATGCTTTTCGTAGACAAGACAGTGCTCTTCTGTTTTGCTTTTCTAAGGCAGGCTCCAGCATGAAAAGCAGATCTGTGACTATGCAGATTTGCTGGCCCAAATGCCATCTTTAGTTAAGGAGCTGTGGGAAGCTGGGTGTCACAGAGTAGCTCCTCTGAGAGCTGACAGAAATGAGAATTCAAGCCAAGTTACCACGTCTTAATGCAGGCAGAAAAAAGGATTAAGACTTAACAAACCCTTGCAGTATAATTGAAAAGTCCCATGATATTTTGTGCATTTCCTGTGAAAGCTCCAAGTACCTCCAGAAACTGTTTCCACGAAAAAACAAAACCAAATTAAAAAAGGATAAAACATATCCTGGTTTTAGGCTGTGTCAAACAAGACAAAAAGCTTCTAATAGGGACTGCACACTGAAAGACATGAATACCAGACGAAAAATTAAGTAGCTGCTATGGTTTTTAAAGTTTTAACAGTTGTCCTCATCACATTGCAAGACCTGACTCACGGCAAAACGCAATCAACAGATGACATCGCCAGCAATATTTTAATGTAGACTCACTGCTGCTTGGCTGGGCTGCTGCTTTTTATTCCTTTTGGGCCTTAATTTTGTAAAGTGTTCCAGTTTTCTCCCTTCTTCTGATGGCAGCTCTGAAATGAATCCGGAAGTTCGTTTGTCCAGCCTGCTGGAAGGAAATGGTGGGTCTTCTATATGGATAGGTACTTCTTCCAGTGCTTTATCTAGATCAAATTCCATTTCTAAGAGAAATCAAAACTTTCTAATTAGATTTAACATGCTATTTAAAACAAAAGACAATGCCATTCCTCTCTTTTGTGGTAAATAATTACAAACACAATTGGAGAACTCACCCACAACATGTTTGTTAGCAGACAGAGCACTGTGAGCAAATATTTACTACCAAACACACTAGCAGAGTCACAAAAAGCAACCAGTGTGGACCTCAAACGCAATCCAGAGGGAGGGAGAGTCACCTGTGCTTTTCAAGTAAGAACTACTTGGAAGAATCTCAGGCAAGCAAAGAAGGAAAAAAGTTTTAAGAAAGTTTCACTTACCAAAAGCTCTGGACACCGGCCGGAGCATTCTACTGTGGATGCTTTTCCTTTTTGATTTAGGAGTCATCTATCAACATAAACCAAAAAAAAAAATTACTTTAGCAGACAACAGAAATGACAAAGAACACCTTTTCCTTTCCATCCAACAAATCCGTTCTTCAAGCCTATGTCTCATTTCAAGATCTGATTGGGTTTAACACCAGGACGGAATGAGGTTTTTTCCCTCCCCTTCTCAAACATTCAGAACATTTTCTAAATTCACAGTTTGTTCAACTGACTTCGAACAGAACCAGGGAGATAGTTTATTCTTCCCATTAAAACCATAGGCTGTAAACGGGATGATTATTTCAATTGTCCAAGCATTAACTCATTGAACCCCAAGTGTAAAACAAGGGAACTATTAAAATCTCACCTTTGCATTTGAGATCATGAGCACAGAAAACTTAATTACTTCATCCAGTACTCCATAGTTAATGACAGTACCAGGGATAGTCTCCCCCTTGTTCTAACTTTTATTTTTGATATAAAACGTGCTTTCTCAGTTCATATGTTACTGACAGGCTACTGGGCATGATTAAAATTCAGGTATCTATGCCTCTGGACACCACCACACATCTCACCAAACTGCCCTAGGAAAATGCAGTCTTGGAACACACAGCCCTTCTTCAAAAAGCAAAAATACCGTGTCAGTCTTAGCAGTATCTCCAGCAAACACATGATTTCCCTGGACTCAAAATACACTGAGAATAGGTGGAAAGCTACCTTGGCATACATTCAACGTAGTTACTGAAAGTTGTATGCTATTATTCCTCTCATCTTCACATTCCCAGAAAAAAGGAGCATGTTGCCTTAAGAGCACAAATACCCAGACTTAAGACCTGAGTTTGTTATTTTGGGGAGAAAGTTGCCCTTATTTTCCTGCCTGAACTCTTCTGAAAGTCTGCATGGCAAGACAGACAGTTTTGCCACAGCAAATGCAGGTGTCACCAATTCTGAACCTCTTAACGCAGCTCAGCATTGTAAGACTTTTAAGCAAAAAGTTGACCTGCAGGTTTTCTAGGGAGTTAATTTTAAATGACTCAGCCTCTGCAAAGATGGGCCCCTTTTGTGGTAGAGTCGTACATGCCGGCTTTAGTGACATCCCTATCTTTACATTTACTTGCTAGTCTTGAAGCCTAGTGGCTTCAAAGCTGGAGTGTCAGTCAGGAAGCTGTTATGGCTCACAACTCATTAACAGAATTGTGAATGAAGTTTAGTACTATCAATTTTATATGAGCCAGAAAAGACATAGTTGGCATTGACATTTCAGACAAATCATGAGTTGTTTAAGGTAAACATTTGCTAGTTTTTATGTATGGAAAGTTCAATGCACAGAATTCATATTCCCATCCAAAGTAGTCAGGAGGATTACTATGCCACTATCCACACGCTCAGGGTTATGACAGATTTTTGTAACAAGAAAGTTATTACCCATCTTCTTAAGACCAGGAAAGGACTTGCAGACTACAGAGCAGGCAGTGACAGCACTGTCTGGGCAATAGAGCTCTGTTTTTATAGCCATGCACATTGCTGGGAAAAAAAAAAGATACCTTTAGCTGTTGCAGGTTTCCACTTCCACATTTGACAAGCATCAGTAAACGATACATACAATAGTTTCTAAACCAGCCAGGAAATAGCTTGCCATTTGAGCAGATTTACCCTGAAACTAATGAGCAGGCAAAGTGTTACTGCATCAAAGGGTCAGACATTACTTTCATGGTTACCAATAAATTAAATGCAACGGATTTGATGGCAAGTGGCCGGAGAGATGCTGAACTTTTTCAGCCAAAATTGCAGTGGATTGTGCAATGGGTGGGCAGCTGGGCAGCCTCTGAACTGCACGCCTTGACAGCTGCGGATCCATCACCCAAACCTGAAACAACCAAAGGCATCCGCACCTCATGTAAGGAAGAATTACAGCAGCTCAGCATTTGGGGGACAGGGTTAGGAGTCACTATCAGTAGTCCTCTGGTCTTATTGCCAGCTCTAGCCCCTTTCTCTTGTTAATGTATATTTGCATGTCTTTTGGTCTGCCTGTCACATTTTTGGTGGTGCAACTGGAAAATTACATCTAGTAGAATAACGCAGCAACTCATGCACTAGAGAAGATCAGAAAGGACAGAAAACAAGGCTGATAGGAGACCTTTAATCACTCAGTAACTTCACAGCCATGGCCAGTGTTCAGAGCGCTCCGGGATGAACACAGCCAAGTCAAGAGACGCACCGGCCCAGGGCACCAATGCAAAACAGCACGGGGCAAGTTTTGAGGTTCCTGTGCAGGGACTCAAATGCTCCAAGACATTCCCGACAGCCAGGAACAGAATGATTTCATCATCCTTCCCAGACAAGAAAATGCCCCCGGATGACCCTGCAGAGCTTGTACTGATGACCATAAGCCACTCTCTGGATCACTGCTGTAACTTACTGTCAGCTTGGCACGATCCATCAGCAGCTTGGTTGCTGGGGATAAAGGCAGAGGGAGAGAGATGCCTCCTGTTTGTTTTAACAGCATGAATAACAGCTATACATACACTTTTATTTGAAAACCTTCTGTTTTCTAGCCTGTTTAGGAAGTGCACAGATGAAAGGCTTCTTGCCAAGTGAACTTTCTAGATTGCACACAGAGCAAAATGGGTCAAAGCATTAATTTAAATAGGCCAGTGTGCTCTTTTTACAAAATATTAAGCTGAGATTAAGTCTAATATCTCAGCCACCGTGCAGTATGCTACAGCAGCAGAGCACGTATCATTACTAGAGGAGACATCTGAACTCCTAGGGAAAGGTGTGTGCCTCTTCCCAGCCTAAGCCCCATTTCCCATAGTTCATGGAAGCAGTTCAGGTTTGGCAGATGAGCATCTTCTGCCTTCCCGCTATCTCTGGCCATACAAGCACAACGCAGCTCTCCTGCCTTACGTTTCACTCACGGCCTTTACAGGGGAACAGCTGTTAGTATCAGCCTCCCCTCCTTCACTTCTTCCACATCTTCCAGGGACTTTCCATTCTAGCAGACCACCTCCTGAACCTTCTTCCTTGTTTTGCCTACTTTTCCATGAACACACTGTAGGCTGCCTGGTAGAACAGATAAAAAGATTAACTGCATCTCTGGGTCTTGGGAGGCACTCTTGGAAGTCTGCGTGCACCTGTGCCACTGAGATCTCTGGAGATGGCTCCATGAAGGTACCGCTCTGCAGTAGATGGGAGCCAGCAAATCTCCACCATGCTCCCAAATAAGGGCTTATTTAGCGTTAGACACTCTCATGTGTCCAAACTAGCTTTAAACTCCCTGGATCTCTTCCCATGATCACTTTTCCAGATTCTTCCCTTCTGATTCCTTTTCTCACAAAACTATCTGAGGTCTCTGGAGTTTTCTTAAATTATATTACCAACTGTGGAAGAACACCAGGAACTTGGGAATTAAAAACAACTAAAATCACTCTAAGTGCTAGAAAACAATGTGCTTTTAGCAACAGGGTCTCAGATACCCTCCCTATATTCCTGGATTATGCAGATAATTGACATTACTCTCAGTGCTGAGGGATATGCTCATTTCCATGTTTTTCTCCTCCTCCTCCAAAGGACTTTGTATTCAAACCTATTAGATACAGGGATGCTCTGTGACCCTCCTGTCACTTCCCTTTCAAAAGATATCAAACAAAGTAATAAACAACTTCCCCCTCCCGCTTGAAATTCAGCTCCCCAAACAGTCTCCCTTCAACCCTCCATCCTGCAAAACAACGTATGGGTTTTCAGCTTGGAGAACGCATTAAGGGCAACAGCACAAAAAGGCGAGAACAGCAGTCAAAAGCTCAAGGTGATTCAAATAGACAAAGAAAACACAACTGACCAAACTGAGATAACCCCTGACATCTCTTCCACCCTCGTGGCAAGAAAGCCCTAGTTTATGCCCATTTTGAAGCCATTCCTTCATTAGGCTGGATGATGCCTGAATATGAAACCAAATCAACAGATTTTCTTTCTGAGCAGTAACGTTTGTGCTTATACCTCCGACATCAGCACTCTGCTTTAGTTTGGTCTTAAAGCCAAGGGATGCTTTAAATTCAGATGCTACGCTAGCTGAACCTTTTTGTAAAATCCAATCTCATCCCTGAACCACTGCCTATGTCATTTGTAGGTGCAGATGGATGGCACTACAGTCTCCCAGGAGATTCACAAGGCAGTACAGAGGCAAATGAAGCACAAAAATGTAAACAAGTAGGCCAGAAACAGCAGAGCGAAAAAAATACTTACACTTGTACAGCAGAGAGTCTCCATGCAGCAAAAAAGAAAGAAAAAAAGAATATGAATGGGGAAGACAAAGCAATAGCAGTTCTCAGGAAAGGAGGCAAAACCAGAAGTCATCAAAATAAAGAAAGCTAAAGCCAAAACACTTAGACATCTTAGCAGGAAAGGTGACATGCAAGAATGAGGTAAAAATCCCTTGCATTTGGAGGTGCTACACACTCTGTGTGTCCAGAGGATAACCAGAGAAGGATGTGATCTCTCTTGTTTTATCCATATTGGGAGAAATTCAGGTTTTCAGACATTCGTTTCCAATATATGGCACTCGCCAATGGTGCCAACCTGCCACCTGCTGTCCCAATGTACTGTGATTTTTTTTTTATTTTGCTGGCACCAGTAGTGAGAAAAAACTGTAATTCTGTTACTTCCTAGTCTGAAGGAAGCTTCTGAATTCAAAATTGGCAGCTTGTTGCGGAAAGCAGGACAGCAAGGAAAACAAAAGAAAGCTTCTCTTGAAAGAATAAAGGATGCAAGTCTGTTCTCCTGAGGTTTAAATAAACCTAATCCAAAGCAACAGTATTTCTCCTTCCCATAGGAGGTTTAGAGGCGCAGGCTTTCGAGTGCTTTTGGCACATTAGAAGAGTGCTATTCCATTAATAAAGCACGACCTTTCCTCTCCCCTTCAAAAAATTAAAAGAAAAAAAGGAAGCAGCACAGCCCTCATGTGAAATGAAGCGATGCCATATCCCATGTCTTGTGTGGCACATGACCAATCCTGCTCCTCCTTAA